CAGCCACTCGGGGCCACAAAGAGCAGCGCAGTCTAGTGCCGGCCAAGGCACAGGAAGCAGTGCCACCCTGGTCCCCAGCTGGACTGGGAGCGCCCGTGCTCTGTGTCGTTTGCAGCACTCTGCGTGATCACTGCGGGACTGCGTGGCAAAGCTCAATGGTACAGCAGCAGGTGCAGCCCACAGGAGCAGGGCTCGTGGGGAGCCAGGTCCCTTCCATGGCTGGCAGGTGCCAGGAAGATGATGTGGCCACAAGGCCCTGGGGCTGGCAGCAGTGTGGAAGGGATTACCAAGAAGTCAAGCAGAGATTGATTAAACTTGATTTAGGGGGAGATTAAGGGATCACAGCAGATCAGGGGGAGATTGCCAATCAACAGCACCATTGTGAGCAGAGCCGGGGGGAGGGGGGGGCGGCAAGAGCCCCCAGCGAGTAGCAGGGCTGCAGCACCAGGAGCCTACACCGAGCCTGGGAAACCTCCAGCACCAGCCCTGCCCTTTCCCAGCACAGGAGCCAGAGCCATGAGAATCCTGTTGTGGGGGGAGGCGCTGGGCAGGAGGGCCGGGGGCAGGGTCCTGGGGCATCAGGGCCAAAGCTGTGCACAGTTGGTCCCTGTCCTTGCCTCAGGGTCAGGGTCAGGCCTCAGCCCAGCTGGCAACTCTGGCAGCGGGGCCTGGAGCTCCTCAGCTGGCAGCACCACCCCAGCCTGCCAAGTCCTACAACATCTAACAGCCCAGGGCCACAACCCTGGCAGCACCTCCCAGGGCCACAGGTTAGTATGTGCCCCCCTCCAGCACCCACAACAGCCACAACAAGAAAGCTGCCTGGATCTGGGTGTTTAATGATGGAGCCATGTGGTATCAACAGGGGCCGGGCACAGGAGCAGCCCCTGGCACCGCCCCCTCCTCACGGCACCTTCACCACTCGCATGATGTTGGTGTAGCCAGCGCCAGGCCTCCAGCCTGTCACGATGATGACAATGTCGCTGGAGCGCAGGAATCCACGCACACGTCCTGGGAGGAAAAGCAGCTGGTGAGAGGGGCAGGGGGGCAGCAGGGGCTGCCTGCGGAGAGGTGCAGGGGGCTGGGGCAGGCCCATGCGGGTGCTGTGCCAGAGCACGAGGCCGCGGGGCTCGCACTCACCCATCTCAATGCCGAACTGCACCCTGCGATCCACGTCATCAGCCCACACCTCCTGCTGGGCACCACGGTACAGCACAGGGAAGACGCCCCGGCACAGGTGTGCCTGGCGAGCCACCTGCGCACTCCGTGTCACGGCAATGATGAGGGCACGAGGCCGGTAGCGGGACAGCAGCTGGGCAGACCTGCCAGGTGTCGAAGGGTGGGTAAGGACTCACGCACCAGGTGCTGTGGGGGCAGCACAGTGGACACGGGGGTGGGAGCCAAGACACTTGCATTCGGTTCACTTGCAGTGCAGCCTGGGTGAGTTGCCTTGGCACTGGGGGCGCTACCCCTGTCTGGGGATGGCGTGACGCCAGAAGGGACAAGTGACAGATCATGGTGGGGCAGACACCAATGCGCTGTACTCCACTGTGTTGCCCCCCACGGCCCCAAGGGTAGGACCCTTCCCTGGCTGGCCTGGCTTCCCCTGTCCCCCAGAGTGTGGCCCCCGCCCCGCGGGGTCTCACCGTCCGGACTTGGTGAGCACGAGGATGGCTCCTGCGCAGCACTTGAAAGAGGCCTCCACTGCCCCAATGGCCGTCACCTCGGTGGGGTCCTGACTCAGGGGTGTCACCCGGCGCAGCTCCTCAAACAGCTGCTGGTGGTAGATGGCGGCCTCGGCCTCCCGCGCGATCTGCATGGGATGCAGACACAGGAGCCCACACAGGGCTGGTGATTGTGCTTGAGCACAGCCAGCCCCATCCTCCTGCCCCTCCTTGCGGTGCCCTAATGGCACAGGGAGCTCCCCACACCTGCCCGCCTGCCCCTCTCCACGGCGCCCTGCCGGGTGAGGCAGGAGCATGCTTACCGCGTGCTGCATGCTCACAGCCTCCACTGGGTAGGCCCCCTTGGCTGTCTCTCCTGACAGCATGATGCAGTCAGCTCCATCCAGCACGGCATTGGCCACATCGCTGCTCTCTGCTCGCGTGGGCCGTGGCTTTTTGATCATGCTCTCCAGCATCTGCCGGCAGGGGAGAGCCTCAGGGTTTGTCACAGCAACCAACCCCCGGGGCCCCGATCCTCAGAGCCTGGAGCAGACTGACCTGCGTGGCACAGATCACAGGCTTCCCCGCACGGTTGCAGCAACCAATCATCATTTTCTGCGCCACGAAGACTTTCTCTGCTGGGATTTCAATGCCCAGGTCCCCGCGAGCCACCATAATCCCATCACTGGCATCCAGGATCTCATCAAACCTGCAGGGCAGAGCAGGCTTAGCTTCACAGGGCTCAGGAGGTGTTCCCATCATACCCACCCCAGCCAAGACATGCTACTGAAGGCGTGTTCTGGGAGCTCAGGGAATGGCACGTGGCTGCCACAAGAGTGGGTGCCAGCCTGGCCACAGAGCTGAGAGCTTGTGGGACACAAGAATGTCCAGAGCAAGCCTGTATGTGCCTGACAACCCCACGCAGGTAAGTGCTGCTGTGGCCCCCCAGGGAAATGCCTTTGGGGTGGGCATGATGCCCCATCCCCAGCGGTGACATGTGGGGCAGAGAGGAACATTTCTCTCCCCTGCTGCCACGGCTGATAGGCAGGGGGCAGACAACCAGGGACACAGGGACAGTTACTTCCTGACGCCCTCATGGTTTTCGATCTTGCTGATGATCTTGATGGTGCGGCCCTGCTCGCCCAGCACAGCCCGGATGGCTGCCACATCAGCTGCCTTGCGGATGAAGGAGGCGAAGATCATGTCCACGCCATGCTGCAGCCCGAAGTGCAGGTCGCGCACATCCCGCTCTGACACAGCTGGCAGGTCGACCTCCGCCCCTGGCAGGTTCACGCCCTTGCGGCTGCACAATACCCCGCCATTCTCCACCTCCGTCACGCAGCTGTTGGGGCCTGGGGCAGGGAGAGAGGCAGTTCCAGGCCCTGCGGGGTCCATGGGGCACAGGGACAGGGGCTGGGATGGGCACCCCAGTGGGGACTGGCAGGGGCAACATAGCCATGGTAGGGGCTAAAGAACAGCGCAGAGCGTGGGGATGTAGCATAGAGCCGCACTGGCGGGGGGGCACTGAGGAAGGTGCAGTCCCTGGGCTAGTGCCCTGTGCCACCCTGGGCTGGGCAGGCGGTGGTCAGAGCTCTGGGGACATAGGCCCGGGTTGGGGGTGCCCTGTGCCACCCTGGGGTGGGCGGGCGGCAGAGCACTGGGGGACGTACCGATTTCCTTGACCACCAGGGAGATGAGCCCATCGTCCACAAAGATCTTCCTGCCGACCTTGACAACCCTGGGGAGGTTTCGGTAGTCCACCCAGATGACAGACTGGTCGCAGCGCTCCTTGTAGGCCTCGTCGGTGGTGACCATCACCCGGGAGCCCTTCACCAGCTCCACCTCCATGTTCTCACCCTGCACAGGCACCGCACGATCGGGGCTCCAGCGTGCCCAGCTTGACTGGCAGACCCATCCAAACCGCACCAGTCCCACCTGCTCCAGTGTCCCCCTGCCAATTCCTGGACCCCCTGCTTTCTGCTACAGGCCAGGGCAGGGCAAGGCAGGGCAGCCTCCCACCAGCAGCCCCTTCCCCTTTCCCATCCAACTGCTCTATACTCACCCCTTTGATCAGGCCAGTGCGGATCTCGGGGCCCTTGGTGTCCAAGGCAATGGCCACGGGGCGGTAGAAGAGAGGATTGGAGGCGAAGCTCTCTGTCGCCTCCCGGATGTTTGCAATGGAGCCGGCATGATACTGGCAGGGAAGAGCTAGGGCTGCAGGGGGGCTGCTGTGCAGAGCTGTGCTGCCCCTGCCCCAGTTTGTGGTCTCTGGTCCTGCCCCTTCCTTTCCCATCAGGGCCCTGTCTGCACCTGCCCTTCAGGGCCCTGCTTGCCCCAGTCAGGCAGCTTTGGGCCTTGCCCTGGATCCACAAACTTGTCCCCATCTCAATATCCTCCCTTGCTCCAGCCTGCAAGGTGGGGGCTCCCCCGCTGCCCCAGTGGGCAGACGCTCCCTAGCTACAGCACCCTCCCCCTGTGCCAGGCTGGGGGATCCCTGCTTCCACCCGTCTGTGGGGCCTGGCCCCTCCCCACATACCTCGTGTGAGCCGTGCGAGAAGTTCAGGCGTGCAATGTTCATCCCAGCCTTAATCATCTCTTTCAGCATCTCCACGGAGCGGGAAGCAGGCCCTGGCAGGCACAGAGGCTCAGACCCTCCCGCCCTCTGCCCAGAGACTATCCCACCCTCAGGGCCCTGGGGCCTTGCCCAAGCCCCTCCAGGCAGGTCTCCGGTGCCATCCTGTGGCCCGGCACCCCCAGCTCTCCCGCACAGGGTGGTTCTTGCCCTTTCCCCGGGAGAGCAGTACCTATGGTGCAGACGATGCTGGTGTTGCGGGTGGTGATGGGCACCGAGTCGATGTCCAGCAAGCAGAGGTGCTCCAGGAAGGTGTCCGCCCGGGACGCCCTCAGCTGGTTCCTCTGGAAAAAGGCCGTGCCAAGCTCCTGGGTGAGCTGAGCCATGTCTTCCAGCAGCCACGGCCTGATGACCCCTGCTGAGACAGGGAGGGTGCAGTTGCACAAATGCTGCCAGGCGCAGCCCGTGGGATCGCAGCCCCGGCCCCCCAGTGCCGGGCTGGGAGCAGCAGGAAGTGCCGAGGCCTCCTTGGGGCAGTGCCAGTGCCCCCTGCTCGGGGCAGCGTGAGCGGGGAGTGCTAGCTGCACGCCGCCGTTGTGCAGCCATTGACTCGGCGGGCACTTCCCCCCCTGGTGCCAAGGTCCTGGTCATCGCTCAGCGGAGGGCTTGGACCCACCTTCCGTGTGCAGCCCCAGTGCAGCCCGT